AGATCGTTAAGAATATCTTACAATCTGTCTGAAGAGACTCTCGTACATTAGTTGACGCCCCGAACAATGTCATCTGCGTAATTCAGTAGAGTTGCTTTTCCTGGGACTGGTATTGAAAAGAACCCAAGTGATTGTGATTAGGGGCGAGGAACTTCTGTCCCCAAATCGGGTAATCTGAGTACGACCGGTAAAATAATCCCTCAAAAGGTGAACGATGTAAGGATGTATTCTAGCGTCGAGTAGATCTTTAAGCAGTAATTCGCGGTTTACGCAGTCGAATGCGTTGCTGTAGTCTAAAATACAGACTCAGGCTAACTTGATTCCACTGCCCAAAGTTGACAGAACCGAGTGCATAGGGCAGGCTACTGCGTCTTTTTGCTTACCTTGAACTGCGGTAGGCAAACTGAAGAGGATCATTTGAATTCTGTTGTGTCAGTATCCTCTCAAGCATGATTTTTTTGAACACCTTTAAGGCTACCGAAGTACAAGCAATAGATCACTCTTTGCTTGAGCCCTTTTTTGGTATTGTCGTGATATTGACACCTCTCCAGCAGTCGGCAATTTTATATTGTTGAATGCACAATGTGTATAAAGTAGCCAGACGTTTGGGCAGAGCAGGAATACCGACTGTCTGGACCACTTACTTTCCCTGAGTTAAGCTGTTTCAGCAACTTATCTAGTGCCCCCATCGACAGGGGACAGCGAGTGTGCAGACAATTTAGGCCGGGCGCAATGTTTCAGAGATCGGCTTATTATAGCAGTTGCAGAAGTCATTGTTCAGTTTCTCCACATCCACGTCGGAGCTTGATGTACGTCGAGTAAGCCCGCTTAGTTGTTTTAACATCCTCCAGAGTTCACGGCAGCTATTAATCCCAAGTATATCCGGAACGTACATGTTGAGGCGGCGCAACTCCTTCTTTATAAGAACATATAGTGACTTTACTAGTGTTGTCTTTTCTTTTGAAAGCTTTTTTGTCCACGTAGCCGCTTTAGATGGGGAGAAGAGAACCTGTCCTCACGGGTGAACAGAGTTTCGCATGGACAGCAAATGTCAGAACAAAAGTTCAAGTAACTTGTCAACTAATAGCCACACGTGGATACACCAGTGTCAAAAAATCGGTGGATGATACCATTTCTCGCAGTCGGTCAATATTCTGTGCGGAACACTGCCTCCACCTGAACTTGCGGTCGTTGCAACGAGTAGTCATCTTTTGGTTTATCTTAGAGTAGATCACAGGACAGCTTTATTGTTGAGTGGTCAGAGCTACTTAACGGCGCCCAGTTACATACGGAGAACAGCTTCATGTTAACAAATACTAGATCAAGAGTTGCATCGGACCTAGTGGGCCAGTTTACGATGGTTTTAGTCCAATACTTGCAAGAAAAGTGGTGTCCAATCGGTTAAAATGTCCAACAAAATACATAGTGAACAATCTATGTGTTCTATTACAGCCACAGTACTCTCATCGCGAGATGTCTGTGCTTCAGGTTTCGAACAGTTGGGGGAAACGTAGATGTTAGCCAGGAAGATTGAGCGATACCCACTGATGCATATCGGACTGTACCTCAGAACTAAGTACTTAATGCGGTGAGAAGGGAAGCAAAACAAAACTTCGTGTATGCGCACCAGTAAGTGTTAGTGTAGATGATGACTTCACTGCCACGGTTACGAGAAGTGCAAGGGCGGTCGTCCCGGTGACATTTTACAGTGGCAGACACTGCTGCACCAGTTATCAGTAGTATAGAAATGCCAGGATGCGAAATTACAACCAGTCAACAGCAGGCCGTAATGACTCCCCCAACGGACAGGAGCACTTTAGAACCGCATTTGTTTGCGCGAGGAAGGGACGCACAATCAGCGCACACCACACAACCCCTAGACACAGAAACAAAGCCGCGCCAGGCAACCTCCAACAAGGATTGCGAAGATGAGTCAATGTCTCGTTTATCGGAACGTACGCACCCAGTATAAGCTATGTTTGAGCCAATAAATAATTCCGCTTGCACCTCGGGTTCTTACAGTTTAAACCCTTCTACCGATACAAGCGCGTCATCCACCACCTTGTGAAGCCAGGTCTTTTGTAGCAAAATGATGCCTAGATTCGAATATTCTCCGGAGTTGATGGTATTTCTTAGTTCATCCATTTTCTCTAAAAGCGAACGGATGTTTGAGGTAAAATAGTTATGCTCATACTTCCTAGCTTTTTCTTCCGAAGAGCAGCCATACATCCAGCGCGGTGTTCTCTGCCACCATTATTGCGCTTGTAAATTCGTTTCAATGTATTCCTCATAACGCGGCCGTTGGAAAAGGCACAGCTGGTGAGCGCTGAAACATATAACGATTTTAAAATATCGCGCGTATAAATCAACATGTTAACAACTGTAGCCAGATAAGAAAAAGTGAATTAATGATGGTTGGTATGACGCCAAAAGTGTGTGCGTTAGAAATTCCACAGAAAGGAATCGTGAAGCACGGCCCACTGTGAAGACCCCGCCAACGCGATACGATATGCAGTTCCGCTTTGAATGTTTTGCTGGGTGATGCCGAGGTGTCCAGGTCGTACAGGTTTAAATCGCCTGAGGTTAGAACGTAGCTGTAAGTTGGGAGTAAGCATTTTGTGAATGTTGATATTAGGCGAGAATCCATCTGGTGTGGACGACGGAGGCGATAAACGACTGCCACGAAACAGTTGTCATTGTATCTGAGATACAAACGGCACCATAGCGAATTGGTGACCTACGTCTCCGGATCATCCAATGGTTCGCATTGTAAGCCGTTGCGATAGTACAGAATTAGACCACCTCCCCTGCTGGGAGGATTGTTTCGGAACAATGACATTACTTTAATCGCGATCTCGGCATCCGTAACCTCTGGATGCAACCAAGTCTCGGTTATGTGTTTGTTGCCTGACGCAACCAAAACTCGGTAATTTAGCTAATGATGCCTCGGGCATTGGTGTAAATGCAAGAAAGTGTTTCAGCTATCAGCAGAAAACCGAAAGACATGTGGTTCGGATGAGAGATTGTCGGTCGCTAGCCGCTTTTGGTAATGTTATCGGTGAGTCGCTTGGAGTTGGGTTCGGTGACATCGTAATTAGCCTCTTGCAACACATTTTGTACACTTCATGGAGAGTGGATACAGGATCGCACAGGAGGAACCTCACTTCTCTCAGACCTGCTCAGTGTGGACTTTGAATGGTGTCCCCACTTCGTTTGTCTGCTGAGGTGTCGCTTTAGGCCGTACGAAAGTTTCACTCGCTGTTTGAAGCACAACCTTCATTATCCCTGGGCCACACCCTTTGCAGTTTTCTAACATTGGCAGCCACGAGGGAGAAGTAGCTACAACCTCACTCAAGAGCAGGGCCTCACGAATATAACGCCACGACTCATGGCCGTAAGCCTCTGCTTCACATTCATCGCGCTCATGAGACTGAGGGACGCCAAGGACAAAAACAGTTTTGGCGACGATGTCTAGACGGAACTCTTCTAAGCTCTGCTTTGCGGACCAAAGATCTGTTCTGACTGCCTATGTTCCAAATGGCCCCATTCATGCAATCAGAATTCTTATACCCGATTATTCAAATTTGACGACATTAAGGAAATCAGTGTTTTAGTGGCTATGTATACCCGCGGCGATTTGCAGGGCACTGTGAGATGAGCGAATGTTGATTTAATGCGTTGAACATTTGGGCCGAGTCTGTGGGCACATTAGTAGCGTGGGTACATGTGATGTTTCGTGCATAAAAGTGCCCCCGCATTGATGCTATTTAGCTGACTAAAACCGCTAATTGCAGAACAATAAATCATTAGCCACACCTCGGGAAGTTTTGGGGATTGTCCTGTTACCAAAGGTCTAATAATCTGGTCTTCGATGGCTAGGCCACGTGGGTTGCTTGCGCGCCGGGAGTGCGGATGCAAGAAGAGGAGAGATGGCCAAGCGATGACATGGTCAAGAGGAAGGAAGGCCCTTAATTCGAACTTGGCCTCGGTTGGAGTCTCTCTAGTTGGGGACCGAAGAACGATGAACACGTTTGGCTGGATACACTTATTGACATGGCTAGGAGCAGACCTTAATTGTGTTTGTGTTGTGAGTTCCTCTGTCCCTTCTTTTCCCGCTTAGCCACCCTGTCCAACTACGATCTCATTATATGATATGACTTTTTTGCGGCACAATGGCCGGCTGTTAGCTCTCCGGAACAATGTCCATCTGTTACTGGTGACAGCCGGCGTGCCACTGTTTCTTTTTCTCGCGTATTGCAGCATAATAGCTGAGTTGTTTTTCACCTGCGGCTAACGTGTATAATGTATGTATGGATTTTCCGGAATCGCACCAGATGAAGCTCATGTATTAACGGAAATGAAATAGTTAATGATCATGTATTTTCTCGGCTTAACACGGATCACATCAAAGAAGGCATGGCTAGTTATGCAGTTTGAGTGAGTACGTGGTGCCTAAGAGGCTTTTCCACACGTTATGGTAATCACAAAAGTTTTTGAGCGCATTTGTGAAATCGTAGTCAGGTACAAGCTCTTTGTGAAATTTGATTCCAATTCTTAAATAACACCCCTTCGAAGGATGTCTGAATTCAGTTCACTTCTGCAGTCGATCATGGCTCATGGTTGGATTCGCTACTCCAGCGTTTGTTGAAGTCAAGCGGGCTGTGTACTGTAGGTATCTGTCTTCGAAATTATTCTGGTGCAGTTTTGCTGGGCTACCAGAACGGACCGAACGATCTGATTTCTTTCGCAGATGATGGCTTTTTGCACTCAGATATTTCCTAAACCAATTTGTTTTGGACAATTTGGTGACACGGGTGTGTGAAACAACACGGTTCTCTGCATCGCACGCAGGCCAGATTTACGAAAATACTGCCGGATGTAGCGCGGAGTACTGCTGCTCATCTAATTAATTGAAACAACGTATACCTTTCTGCCACATTATATTTAGGTTGATTGCTAATGCACACTCGGCTACACGTATGTTTACCACTAAATTCCAGGACCACAAAGCAGGACTGCATTACAAATGCACAAAGGTTGCCGAGGATTTGTCAAAATCACACAACTGCAACATCGACTCAGATGTGGTGTGTTTGGCGACGGAAACCCTGTTTCGGTACTACGAGGTACTTGCAACGGATCTGGAAGCATTCGCGAAACACGGCAGAAGAACGGTAATCAATGTGGAGGATGTGCTCTTGTTTGTTCGACGCAATCCTCAACTGGTGAGTGAATGCAGCGTTTCAACATCCCTCGTATGTCATCCTACACTATAGTCTGAGCTAAGTAAGAGCCGTGGTGTGGAACCCCGTTACAAACTTCTGGTTTGAGCGTTTCTTTACATTCATGCATTACGTTAGTCATCTGCTTAATAGATGTCGTTAATCGGGAGATGAACACCTGGATTAGACACGCAGTCTCTGGTGAAGTGAGACCACAGGACGTATCCAAGTGTTTCCCTGACTGTGTCATGAATATTTTTGGGGGTACGCATTTAGGACAGCAAACACCACCGAGTTGAGTGTACGGCATAGACTGGGAGTCGAAAGAACTGACTTATCTTTTGCTTCATCACCGCAATCCGATTATTCAAATGCACGATTGCACAGTAAACCGATCTCTCGAAACGTGCAAGGCCACCTAAACGCAGTAGATCGCCGATCACATCAGAGGTAAGGGACTAAAAGTGGAATAGACCGAGTCAGTCGTCCGAAACGAATTGACGCGGCAGTTGGCGGCATCCGTGTCTACAATCGCTCACTGTGACTGAGAGTAGCAACAAATTAACTGAACCTGTAGAACGACCATGGATGGTGTGAGCCACACTCTCCAAAACCCTTACATGGAACGGTATCCAGGGTAAAGCCAACCGATGGAATAAGATGGGAAAGCATATGGATGTGTGGCATGTGACCCATTCGAAACCAGGTTCACATTCCTTTCGTGCACATATCATCCGTTTGTGATCGGGACCGCGTGAACCTACCCCAGGGTCTTTTCTGCTCCCACACCACGACGTTAGGTGCGCGTCTAGCGAGCAATTGGCTATTGTTGGGTTGGCATCTACTAGGTACCCACTAGTGGGCAATAGAAGGGAACAAGCTTCGTAGCCGTGTACGGCCCTATAGCTTGGCCAGATCTCACACTTTTGGCTTAACTCCGTGACAAAAACTGCGAGCTCCAACCTTAATCCACACGATTACCGATTTCTGACAGCCTACACTCTAGTTGGAGGCACAGTGTGTATGCATTCGCATCGCGTGCTCTCACACATCACTCGAGAATTGACGTCTAGTATGCAACCACACATGTTCACTACTTCAAGTGTAACCCAGCCGCACCAATGATGCATCACGTGTCACTTTAGTCGCAGCATTGGTTTAGACTGATAAATGAAACTGAAATCAGCCTTTACGTCAAGTGTTTCATGTGCGCGTTCAATCAATAGGTCTGCTCGTATGAGACACAACAGTGTGTACTACAGCACCAAGTGGATAACGATATGGATCTGCCACCCCCCTTACCTTGTATTTCCGCCTTCGATGTACCAGCTGCTGAGTGCTTGAGATCACGCCATTATCGGTAATATATACTGATATCACGTGAAGCCAATGTTGGTCATGTGAATCAACGTTTACCATGTCTGATGATTCATCTTCTCTTTTTCTGCATTACTTTCGGTTACTGTGAGTTGCTATAGAGCAGCCGTTTCGATATCCTGAGTACATAGTTCATCTTACAAACACTGCTGCTGTGAATCACTTCAATGTCCGGTACTCCGTCGCTCCAGCAGATGCGCAGGCATCAGTGATAAAATCGTTCGGAGTGACACATGACTCGCGTAATGTGTAGTCCGTTTCGTTGTTCTACAAAAGAACCAATGGCACCATTGCCCGGTATACCATGAACTGAACTCTAGTGGTGTACATGTGGTTAGATACACTTGCTGACATGGCGAAGAGCCGACTTCAATGGCGTTGGTATTGTGAATTTCTTTGTCCTTTCTCTTTAGATTCCCCCCCCCCCAATTACGTTCTCATACCAAATACGATATTTAACACTAAAACACCCGGAGTGGTCATTTTGACCGCTCAGTCTTGTTATTTGTGTATAGATTCTACATCTTTAAATGCTTTTCAAAGATATTCCGTGACTTGTAATATTTTTAGTCGTATTTTATAACTGAAGTTTGACTTCGATATCTTTTACAGTCTTCGAGAAAAATAACAGTTGTGTTCGTACTAACGAAGAAGCCTGTAGGCGGTCACAGTGACCGCATTTCTCTAATTCGGTTTCTTGTTTTGCAATCCAGACGCCACTATTATTTCTGGCAATAAGAAATTTTAGTGACATTGATTCACAATAACTAGTAGAAGAGCAGATTTGATTTTGCGAAAACTTGCAACTGTCGAGTATAACGAGTCTAGAGACCAAAATGAATATGATTTCCGTGATGACTTCACTACCTAGTAGTACGCGATGGATCACAGCATCTATGCTAGTCAAAGTTCTGACAGTGACACATCTCATGAAGACAGGGGTGACAGCGAAAACCATGGAAGTGTATCAGCCGTTACTGTATCTTCCGGTGAAGTCCACTTATCAAAAGACGGTGCACCGTGGACTCCAATAGAGTTCCAAACAACTACTGTTGGTGGGATGGCAGCACATAGTGTTTCAAGACAAAATCATGACTAATTGCCTACACTGAGAAACCTGTTAAATATTGTGAGCTCTCGAGTGCTTTCCACGTCATAATTACTTCCCAGACGCTGAAACGTATTTAAGCATGTACTGATGCGGAGGCCAACGGAGTTTTAGTGGACAGTCAGTGCTCCACAAGTTGAACATAACTGTTCCTGAGCTGCGTACTTTCATTGAGCAACTTTACATCAGAAGCTTCATGGGCTTGTAGGATGTGCCGTTGAATATGCTGCAGTACAAACAATACTGATTGCCTGCTTTCACGGAAACAATTAGCAAGAACAGATTTAATAAAGTATTGAGTTGAGAGACTGCAGATAGACAAGTTTACTTTAATACTTGCAATCTGGAATGCATTTATCCGTAACTTTCAACAGTGGTATATACAAACGCAGAACTTCACTATCGACGAGCAATTGTTCCGTCAAAACCCGCTGTTATCTTCTTCAATATATAGCCAACAAAAGTGATAAGTTCCGTACCAAGTTTTGGATTCTGGCAGAAGTGGACATCGCATAATTTGTGAGCTTTAAGTCCACCTTTTTTGGAAATGGCTACGATGTCACAAGGGACAACTTCTTCACATCTGCAGCAATGGGAGTAAGACTCTCCAAGGAAAATACAAGCATTGTGAGAACTATTCGAGCTAACAGACGGAAAAGGCCAACCGGTTTGAAGCAAAGCAGTAGAGGGTTGTTCAGTCCACTTATTATGAAGGAAAATAAGCACACACTGACAACCTGCAACAACAAGTCAAAGAACATATGCCCTGTGTGGAAAGTATGTGGTTTAAGTAGACAAATTGAGTTATCACCTGTTTCAAGTGTGAATCTGAATAAGTAAGTACAAATATTTTTAAGTTTTTATACCATTTTTACTTTAAATCGGACGTTTTGCTAACCACTGGAGGTTTTGCAAAACACCTCAGATGTTTTCCAAAACAAATCAGACGTAAAATGGATGTTTCGCAAAAATAAATTCGACATATTATTCTTATCAGAAAAGCATGAAATTTTTAGCAAGAAATGAGGAATAAGGCGATTGGGCGATGTTCAGGGCACATTTTGGTCACGCAATGCAACGGAACTGCGCAAACAGCGGGCGATTGTACGAGCCCCTCTCTTGATCAGGAGTGTCACCTCGATCAACGTTTTCCCCTGTCCCTGTAGTGGCCTACTCGTATTTTGTGTGGGTGTGGGCGAACTCATGCAGCTGCATGATTGCTGAAATCGCGTAGTCTGTCATAACTCCACCAAATGACGCATAGCTTTATTGGCCTACTGTTGCAATACCGAATAAGGCTACTGGACAATTTGCAGACCACACTGGTCGCGCTAATGAAACAATACTGTGTAAGCCTCTGGCGATTGTACGAGCCCCTCTCTTTATCATTAGTATCGCTCACATCCATCAAAATCGGTTACCCAGATTTCCTCTGTCACTACAGATGCCTTCGCGCATTCCGTGTGGGGATGTGGGCGAACTCATAAAGCTGCATGGGTATTGGAGCATTGCCGGCTGTCTGGACTACGTCAATTTTACCGCAGAGGCTGTAATGCAAAAGCTGACTTCCCTACGCAAACACAGCTCGCCGGGTATCGACACCATTCGTCCAGAGGCATTGGGAGCAGCAGCAAACCAACTGGCAGAACCTTTAGCTCAGTTTTTCCAGCACTGCTTAGACCAGAACCGAGTTCTCGCCATGTGGAAGCTTGGAATAATAAGCCCGATTCACAAAGGTGGAAGCAGAACTGATCCCTCCAACTGCCGCCCAGTAACCCTTCTTCCTATACTCTCCAAGGTCATGGAATCCATAGTTGCCGATGCACTGGTGTGCTATCTGGAAAACTGCAACCTCATCACCCCTGAGCAGCACGCTTTCTGTCGACAGCGGTTATGTACAACTAATTTACTAATTGCACGTAGTAGTTGGACCGAGGTAGCTGACGCTGGAGAAGGTGTTGATGTGATCTACCTGGATTTTTCCAAGGCTTTCGATCGTCTAGACCATCGGATACTACTATCCAAGCTGCAGCATTACGGGATCGGAGACCCTCTTTTAAGCTGGATCGCCAACTTTCTATTTCAACGGCAATTAGTGGTCAGAGTTCGGAGCTCTTTATCGGACTCCATACAAGTGGAGTGTGGTGTGCCGCAAGGCTCGGTTCTAGGTCCACGTTTGTTTTTGGTGTTTATTAATGACCTTGCACAGGGAATCGCTTCAAACTTCCTAGCGTTGAAGACCGTAGACAAGGATAGCTGGGTCCCCTTCTCTCTCAACCACTGCTGCAATATCCTGTGTCTGACACTGCAAGAGTAGAAAGTAAACCAAGCGCCAGTAAAAAAGGACCAGCAGGGCGAGTACTTTAGTTCATTCTGCAAACAAAATGTGAATCGGCGCGGGTTCAGTTACATCGTACACACTGCACTAGCGGATCCTCGTCCGGTCATGGGTAGTGATTACAAATTAACACTAGTCTGTTGAACGATGTCTTTCTCGTGCGTTGCAGAGCGTGTACCAAGAAGTCGAGAGTGTAGGCCTGCTCACTCGCGACGGTCGGGGCACTGTTGACACGGTCTAGCTCGTATTGGCACTTCATCAGCGTGACTTACAATCTTCTGAGTGCGTTGAAGACCGTAGACACGGACAGGTGGATACCGTTCTCTTGCGAATGCCGTTCAACGGTCTATTCAACGCGCTGTATGGCATCGGGAGTTCGCTTCTCTTTGTTATTTCTTTCACATTTGCGCTGAGCAGTGGTGCTCTCTTGCGTGCAGGCATTGATGATATATATTTATTTTTTGCACTACTCTCGTTGATATCGGCGGATTCAGAAGCTTCGTGGGTGGTCTTGCTGTCGACGAAAACAAGCTTTATGACGATGTCGTTCTGTGCTCATGACGTTCGTTTGTACGGTCGCCACCTCGGAGCAGCGCTCTACCGTCTCCTGTCGCTCATCTTGGTCGTTTCATGCAGCACAAGGCGTTTGCCGCAGTAGTCGTGCAGTTGCGTAGGTCCCCCTGCGCACCCACACACAATGCGAGGCCATTACAAGGGACAGGGAAAAACCTTGATCGAGGTGACACTCCTGAGCAGGAGAGGGGCTTGCACAGTTTGTTTGCATTTTCGTGACCAAAATGTGCCCTGAACATCGCTCAATCGTCTTGCTCCTTTTTTGCTAAAAATTTCATAATTTCCTGACAAGAATAAGGTGTAAATTTAATGTAGGAAATATCCATTTTGCAAAACGTCCATAGTGGTTTGCGAATGTCCGATTTAAAGTGAAAATGATATCAAAAGTTTGAAGTTCAATACAATGATTTTTTTGTCATAAATATTTTACACATTGTATTTGACATATGTACCCAAGAAAATCAAAAATAAGTTAGAATAAATAAATACAGCAATGCGGTCATTTTGATCGGTCTCGGGCGTTATAGGTTGGACAACGGAGCGTTCGTTCTAGTTTTAATATTGTACTACTCACTTTTTGCACTTTTTGTAGTCTGTGATTTTTAGTTTCTTATCTTTTTTGTATGGAAGCACATTAGTTAAGGTGTGTTTCTCACCTTCAGCAAACGTGTACTGATGATGGGTTCTAATGGGTAGTTAATAGTTCTTCTCATGCGATATCAGCATACCGAGAGCCGCATTCGCCCTTGCTACTATAGTGAGCAACTCACTGGTTCCCCGCAGGCCAACCGTGCACTTCCGACAGGACAACCGATTTTCATCACTCCAGATTTACGGACGACACGCGAATTCCAATCCCTTATTAGCTAAAATGCAATCTCACTCGCTATGATGGTTAGTTTGAGTAAAGCCGCCGTTAAAACAAGTGTTCTTATTAGCTGAAACCTATGCTTTTATGATTTAGCGGTAACATTCGCAGTAGAATTCGCGTTCGGAAACAACGGATATTCAGCAACCCGCGTAGTATCAAAAATGGGCGTCTTCGCTACTATCAAACAAACAAGAGAGTATAAAGGAAATGCACATTTAACAGTAGCGCATAATTCGCCTTATTTTTGATGTTCACATAGCATTACTGTGGGGCTGAATGCTACTTATGAAAATTACACCGCTTTGGTCTTGACCATATTTGATAGCTGTTAGTCTGTTTTTTCCCTTGTAGGTAAAGATTTTGAAGGAGTCATACAAGTGCGACAAAAAACCTGGATCTCCTACTCGAATAGAAGACAAGCAGCGGACAATCACAACACGGGTTGATGAGATGGATCCACAAACCAAGGAACAATCACGTTCAACTGAAACTCTAACCGATTGGTTTACGGGGGATTGACGATATAAACACTGTCAAAAACCGATGTGTACACAATTTGTTTGCGCAGAATGTAATGTGAGATAACCCGCCAGTCGGTTTCAATGCCTTAATAGGGAAACAGAACGTGACGAGTTACGTCAGTTGGAGCCAAATGTAGAGAACGACAATTATACCTCATCATACTAGATCCCCATTACTCATTAGTAACGACAATTTCGCATTACTCTGCTTTTAAACTGCTTGTTGGATACGTTTCAATTAAGTAAAGTATGACTCAGCGGTCTTCCCATCGCTGTACAGCAATGTCCTTTAAACATCTCGGAAGGAAGGTGTGTAAACTTTCATGGCCTGATCGCTGTTAATCCGTAGTAATAAAAATTCCGTGTGTCTATCGCGACCCACCAATCGAGAAAACATCCAGTGTCTTTAGCCCATGGATAAGAATGGAGTTGCGCCTTACTGGATCGCCGATAGATTAGTGGATGTTCTTTGCCTAATTTTAGTTCTCACTGATTGGCCCAACTGCCGTCTGTGTCCGCCATCTTGGATTCGTTCCACGGTAATCGGACATAATGACCACCACACCGGTAACCCGAAACGAAGTATTTTGTGCTAATCAAACTTGTGCTATAGTAGTTAAAGGAGGGTTGACTTGTACAAACTGCCAAGACTGGTGCCATTCGAAATGCGTCAACGTCTGTAGAACCGACATAAAGAAATATAACACGCCGGATTCACTTTGGTTCTGTCCGAAGTGCACAACGATTCCACTAGTAAAATGCGTACTAGCGATAACACAAAGTACGATAACCTAGTCATCGAAACTGAATATCGTCTGAATGCAAAAATTGCTTCGCTCGAACCGACAATAGCGCCTTGTACCTCATGCGTCTCCCTCAATTGCCGCCTCGAAACCAAGGAAAAGGACCAGGCGTTCAAACGGCTACGCAGTACTAAAAACCTTGGGAGCCACGAACCATGTCGTCATCGCGACCGATAGAAGCATGCCTAGCCCCACCGCCTACATCCTCTTATCCAATATATCGACTGATGTAACATCGATAACACCCACACTTCCGATTGACCAACGAAATCCGAAGTGCTCTAAAGACCGATCCACCTATGAAACCGTTGCTGCTCGGTATAATCGAAGTGGGACCTCAGTACAGTCGCAAAACGAGTCATGAATCAGGTGCAACCTGCACAGACGTCATTAAATCCCTCGATAGGCGTGCTTCCCACCTCACCATAGACCAAGCGGAACTAAAGGGCCTTGGCACCAACGTTCCTGAGTCCAAGGCAAACTACCCGAGGGGTAAACAGCTAGATGATTTAAAGCAATGGAATTTCCTTTGTGATAAAATCGCAGTTCAAGCCAGTCCGACTAATATAATGCGCATCACTAGACATCCAACCTCGAGTCATTATGAGGAGTCCCGGCTAAATGCGAGTAATATTGGGATCAATAGATGATGTTGAGACGGCGTTTTTGTCGGCATACCGCCTGCGAACTGAAAACAGTGGAATACGCATATTTCTGGATGTTCCATGGAGCGAACGCCAGCGCGACAAAAATAATTCAACCGCCACACGGAGAGTAGCAAAAGAGTCCGTTTAGTTTATGGCGTGCCAGAACTATTGACAACCAGCAACGAAGAAACCCACGCTCATGACCTGGAAGAATGGCGTTACATCCATGAAGCTCTCTGTGCGGACGATGTCATACCAGTCGATTACACGGTTACCCATGTCGCCAAACTACAGAGGCAGTGGCCAGAAGATACTGAAACTAACGGCGCAATCACGACAGATGGCCGTGAACTTAATACCTAGATAGCAGTTACGCCACACTCATTTCAGAACTACGAATGAAGACAGTAGTTACAGAGTCGCAGCTATTCGCTGTTCTCGCGGAAACGACACCACTCGCGACTCAATACAACCACAACAGCGATTCAGAAACCTGTGCGCTAAGACCCGTAGCTATTGAGTAGGCTGCCGATGGACTACATACCACAGGTGCAAGTGAGACCAAAACATTGCATTCCTATCGAGATTTGGCAATTCAGCCAGAAAACGATTAGGTGCAGGCCTCTCATCGGTCGGCACAAATCCATATCATTCATATGTTCCTAGCCAACAAGTGACATCCGAGAAGCTTTCCTGTATGTACACCAAAGCCCAAGGCTTACTGAGTAAACTTTCTGAAATGCAGCTGCGTCAAGGATCCAAGGCCTGCGACCTCATCTCTATAACGGAGACTTGGTTACGCCCTGACATAAGTGACATGGAGATCACACTGCCAGGCATGTCCATTGTTCGGTACGACCGACCCAACAAAAGTGTAGAGGTTGCTCTGTACTTCCGCAATGACCTCCAATGTGAGCTCATAGGATACGGTCAGTACGGTTGCAAGGATTCTTTTGGTGCCGTCTACGTTTAAAAGGCGACCACACTTGCTTGGTGGCGGTCATTTACCATCTTCCTTCCTCAACGCCAGAGATGGACTCCCCATCTAGCATTCGCAATAAGGTGATAAATACAACTTACAGTCACATTCTCAACATCCACGCTCTGCAATCCCAAGCAGCTCCCGGAGAACAGCTTAAGGCCGATCTACAAGAGCTTGGCTCCAGTTACCCGCTGTATGGCCACATCAACACTCCAACCCGATTCCGAGAAAAAGATAAGCCTTGATGCTGGATCGGATATTCACCAACGAAGAACTAATGGTCGAGAGGGTGATCGTCGATGTCCCGTTGGCCTTCAGCGACCATGCAGTACTACTGTTGGAGTACATTTGCTATGCAGAATATCCCGTGGGAATTGCCGACGCAACGAGAAAGTATGTGCGCTACTACATATTAGTTTGATTACGTGAGACAGCCAATTGGACATTTCTGGCAGACTAGGCACCAGCTAGTGCATGGGAACATTTCGTCAGCCAGTTTAACTCTCTGATTGCCGAAGCGTCAACAACTAAGACCTTCCGCCCGAGAAACGTGGTCTCGTTTCTGCGAAGCAAGACACGCAAGTGTATAGCGGTGCGAAACTCAGCCTGGCATATCTACAAACTCTCCCCAAGCACCGAGAACTGGATAGCCTATGCGACCCAATGTAACCATTGTACTCAACTTGTTCACGAGGACGGAAGTTGGCAGTGCGTATGGCCTCAAACCACAAGCTTCTGTATCAACACGTCAACATTCTACGTAAGGTGAAACGGAGAATTCCTCCTCTTCAAACAGCGGAGGGACACCGAAGGTGGCGGCCAATACCCTCCGCCTACAAAATGCTGCAGCATTTCAGTGCGTTCACTGGCCACTTAACCCTCTATCGATGATTGTTTTACCGCCAAAACTCACTCACATATCCTTTACGGCAGAAGCTGTACTAAAAAAGCTGTTGAGTATGCGCAAACACAGCTCTCCTGGAGCTGATAATGTACACACGAAATCACTAGCGGTAATAGGAGAGTTTGGCTGAGTCTTTGGCTCGATTCTTCCAAAAATGTTTTGAAGAAATGTACGTGTCCGACATGTGGAAACACGGGATGATTACTCCTATTCACAAGGTAGTCGTTCCAATCCAGCCAACTACCGTCCCATAATCTTACTACCGGTTCTTTCAAAGACCATGGAAACTATTATTTTTTATTACTACTTGGAAGAATTTAACTACTTCGCATCGGAACAGCATGGCTTTCGACGAAATCGATCGTGCACTACAAATTTACGACTAGAACGATGCAGCTGGACTGAAACGGTAGACTCTGGTACAGGAGTTGATGTAGGCTTTCTTGACCGGTTAGACCATAACATACTGCTCTTCAAACTCCAGACCTTTGGTATTGGTGATCTTCTCCTAGGATGTATTAGAAGCTTTCTTCTGCACCGGCGGCTGGAAATACGTGTGCGTGAATCCCGGTCAGATCCCATCTGAGATGAATGCAGAGTGGCACAAGGATCGGCAATAGGACCGCGTTTATTTTTGACCTATATTAACGATAACATAGGCCACATAAGCTCGAACTGCCTTCTTTATGCCGATGACATCAAGGTGTGGAGGGCGATAAAGACACCAGACGACGTCACAGTACTTCAAGATGATCTGGATAGGGTATACGCGTGGTCAATCAAGAATCTACTTCGATTCAATGTGGTGAAATGTAGTGCTGCACCTACGGCACAAGTTGGTACGCTCCTACAAACTATACAATCAGGAGCTTCAAACGTCTTCTGGCGAGAAGGATTTGGGTGATATGGTCCAGGTCGACCTAGGATATTCGAAGCATGCTGAAACGGCGTCTAGGAGGAGCATTCAACATGTGGGCCTCCTGAAGCGTGCATTTGGACGATTCGACCCTTCGATTTTTCCATAACTTATTAGTTCATACATACGGCCACATGTGGAATACGCAATAAAGGTTTGGTAGCCATGGCTGGGGAGAGATCTCCCTGCCTTAGAGATACCAAAACGCCGGGAAACCAAGAATGTCAAGGGTCTGGATAAATTGAACCAATGCTACAAATGCTCAGGGTCTTCAGCGGACAATATCGTCGATTGCGCGGGGACCTCATTTTGACTTACCAGAGTTTGAGAGATGCCAACCACACGTGCCGCTTTTTACTAGAGCTCAGTCACAACAGCAATATGAGAGGTCACCATCTCAAGCTGACACAGAAACACAGTCGTTCGGAATGTCGTCGGAATTTCTTTACCGTACACCTTTTCCGTACGTGGAATGCCCTACCGGAATCTGTCATATGTGCTCCCACGCTGGCAGAGTTCAAAGCCCGAGTTGATCGTGCACTCATTTCGCTGTACATCGTACATGTCCCATTACCCATGGGTAAACACAAGTGTCTGTAAGCGGTTTGGCTGGCGGTCACAGCACAGATTTCGTTCCACCTTTGTCTCCTCTGTGTGTACACCTGAAGGAGACACGATTTTTACCAACGTCCCATCTGTCATCATTTCTTATGGATTTACAGTCTATACTACGTATACTTCGGTGCGTTTACTGGTGTAAACCCAATTTTGCTAACAATTTTTTTATATTTGGTAGTTTCACAATAACCATCCTAAGGAACCTGTTAAGCATTAGCTTTTTTATCCGTTCCAGCGCGTGGGTGCAAAAATTTAATAGACGACATGTGCAGGCACACAAGGCTAGGTGCAGATAACATGGACTAACAGTGGTAAGACATGTTAGGTTCCAAAATGATGTTCGTGGAATCAAATGGCGCTTCACCGAACGTAGTTCCACTAAAGAACCAGACAGTTACAGGCCGTATGACCGAACACACGCTTACAAATTT